GGGAGGGGGAGGGGGGAGGGGGGGCGACATAAATTATGTTTTAAGGATGTGTCGGAGACGGGTAATTCACTCACATAATAGAACCAGTAAGGTTATGCCCGGGCTAACGGCTACATAAAGTTTCACGTTAGCAAATTCATTAATATTTTATTTTCGTCAAAATTATAAAAACGAATGGTAGAAGTAGCAACTACATCTGACATTTTTGTTATTGTTCTTGCTAAAGAAAATATAGACTGTTTGCTTCACTTTTAGCGGTGTCTGAACCAAAATATGATAATATTATAATCTATTAGGAGGTATTTGTGAGCTTGACACAATTCAAATTGCAAAGAGTGTAAAGTTTTCTAATTAGCTACAGTGAAATGAAGTATATATGTTTTATCTTTCCTCTAAATCAAGTATTTGAGAAGACATGTGATTTAAAGTGTCATGCAAAAGCATAGTGTTTAATATCATTGTCACTGAATCTAATCCTTAACTATGCACAAGAGATCACCAACAAAATCTTAGATCCTATACATCATAAAACTGCCAGAAATTTCTCTCTCTATATGTCAAGCCAGTTACTTGAACAACTTTGGTTTCTTCATTTCCCTGTGCGTGTTAGAGCGATCGAGCTTTTCTTGAATGTGCACATTCTCATCTAAGAGCGAAATAAAAATAAAGGAGCATTAGAGTTAGATTTGTATTGACACAATCTTAAGCTCAAAGAGTTAGAATGGCCTTGAAAGTCAAAGCAAGGCTCTAAGAAACTACTGATATAACTGAGATAAAATACCAAAAGAAAATCAAATTAAAAAAAATGAACAAATGTTGAGGTGGAACAATGAGTATGACGGGCCTCTATAGTTTCCTGAAGAAAGATAAAATACAGCCTACGTGGGTCTCCAATCAAAGAACACGTACACATTTTGGAGCGATAAAAGAGCCACGCAATCTATTGAATACTCACATTTTAGGTTTTATTAATAAAAATGCCCTTCGTCATCCCTAAGTCCTTCACTTATTATATAGTTAAAGAATTGTAATTTTGGTAAGGTTCAAAGATAATCACAGCAGATAGTAAGGATTTGGTGTACGAAGAAATATTGCAATTAATATTGTAGCACCTAAATACTTTAATCCTTTCAGCTGAATTACTAATAAAAACAAACTCTTTAACAATGTCATATACATTATCAATATTATATTACGGTACGAAATGGAGAAGACATTAATGGATAAAAAGCAGTTTATCGTAACAAATTGTATAAGTGCACATATTTAGATAAGTTAATATATTATTTCATAGTTTATTTACGGTTTATATTGTAAGGTCAACAGTTAATAAAATGTTACTACATCCATTGCTAAATAAATTATATTATACCTAATCGTTCAATAAACCATCCAAAGAGTCAGTGAGTATATATTTATATTAACATACAATAGATAACTTAGTTTAGATACCACATATCATCAAGAGAAACTAAAAATATCCATAAATAATTTGTATAGTCTAGTAGTAATTTCTGAAAATAGTGGAGCAAGAAGAGCAAGAAGAGCAACAAGCAATTTAAATAAAAGAAAATTGAGAGATTTTGGATTACCTAAAAGGTCAAGAGGTAACATATATATATATATATATATATATATATATATATATATATATATATATATATATATAT